CCAATCTGTAGGGATTATTTGATTATATTATCTGTTAAAAGTGCATTGAAATGAAATCTGTTGTGAATTAGTGCTATATAAATAAACTAAAATAAATTATTCAATCTTGTTCTGGTCTTTAAGAACATGAAAAACTTTATTTGGAAAATATATCTCACCTTTTTCTCTGTATTAATGAAAATAAAACCATTTATATAACAATCTCAAAGGACAAGAAGCTGATAGTCTGTTAAAAAAAGCTTATAAAAAGTTTCTATATTGACATTCCAGACACGCTCCTCCTGCATCAGCATGTAGCATTGAACTATATTTTGTTCTCTTTATAACCTGCTTTGCAATTTGTCTTTTTCCTGAAACTGTCTCATTATTATATTATTATGATATCATTAATATAATTTCCTATATGGCAAAAATTGCATTTTCCAATATATAATGAAGTCTGGATTTTAATTGTTCATGTTTCATGTTTCAAGAATGGAAACTGTTTTTGCAGAGTTTTCTTGCAACAATATCACATTAAGGTCTGACATCCCTGAATGCAACTTGTAGCTTTGATTTATTTATTCAGATATATTATTAAAAAGGCAGATCTTTGATCAGTGTGACCTGAAATTAAAGGGAAACAAACTCTAAAAAAGGATATGACTCATTTGCTGCTACCCTCACATAAACACTGAGAGGCACCATGGAGGTTCTGTCTGCAGAACAATAATCATGTCTGTTGTGACATGGACTCAACATTTGATTTGCTTTGACCAATGACAGATTAATACTTTAAGATTTCTAATCCAAGCTAAAAAAGCTGAAAGGAAACCCAACAGAAAATCCATGTTCCAGACATGCAGCTACACCTGAAACATCTGGTTGTTCTTCTGATGAGTTGGAAGTTAAAAGTTGAGTCAGATTAAGGCAGCAGCTCCTTTTCTATTTGCCAGATAATTTAATCATGGTTTCATTTAAAATGCATTATGAAGGTGAAGAAATGTAGGTGGAAATTCTTCAACCAGAAAAAGCTGTGAGTCTGTTCAGCAGGAGGAAGAGGAGCTGAGAGCTTCAGGGAGGAGCTGAGCTGTTACTGAACTATAGAAGAGNACCAGAACCGGTCTGGTAGAACTCCTCCTCCTCCTCTCTGTGGTGTTGATCCTTCAGACTGCTGGAGAACACTCTGAGCCTCGTTGGTTCTGATGAACCCTGAAACAACCTTCATCAGACGAGGTTCTCCCTCTGTGATGAAGAGGAGGGAAGAGGAAGTCTCATGTAGGTCACAACCTCCTTCAAACATGGAAGCTTCTCACTCTGTTCTCAGTCATGCAGAAGCTAGAATCAGTCCCATCCAAGTTCTAAAATAAAGTCCATGTGATCTTCAGCCTCTAAAGAAGGAACAACTTTTTGTTTGTGGTCCAGGAAATAAGTAGAGCAGCAGCAGCATCAAGGTGGACATCAGAATCTAAGGCTGCTGATATTCAGTGTGCATCAAATCTATAGATGAGTCCATTTAACTGAGACATTATATGTAATTTAACATAAGAATAAAAGCAGCAGACCTCATCAAATTCAGTTTAATTTAGTTCCTCTCCTCTGGACCCTGTCAGGAACCATTTAGACGAGTGAAGAGGCGCGGACAGTTCTAATGTTCTCTTATATGTCTGCTTCTGTCTCTTTAAAGCCACACAGAGCCTGTTCCTGCTGGAAGGTTTCCTCAAACAGGAACAGGCTCAGTTAAACGAGTGTTTCCTCTCCACTGTTGCTGCATGCATTTTAGGTGTGAGGAATTGCTAAAGAATCAAGGTCAAAAATGCAGGCAAATATCGATCATTGCCACATGCTTATGCATGAGGGGCTAATCATGCAAAGTCAGTGATTGGATGAAGTCAGCTGGTTTTCCGTAATTGACATTTATTCATTCATTGCACTGTTTTTGCATGAAAAGACAGCCAAAAAAAAAAAAAAAAAAAAAAAAAAAAAAATATATATATATATATATATGTGTGTGTGTGTGTGTATTTACATAATCTTGTGTGGTTTGTTGTGTATACATACATATATATAAATAAATGTTTGTATACCTGGAGTGTGTAACAAACTACAATAAATTATTCAATCTGGTTCTGGTCTTTTAGAACATAAAACAGCTTATACGTCGATCTCGAAGGACAAAACGTTTTGAGTCTGTTCAGCAGGAGGAAGAGGAGCTGAGAGCTTCAGGGAGGAGCTGAGCTGTTACTGAACTATAGAAGAGACACAAACTTCCACATTCAACACAGTTCAAACATTAACTCTGATCATCATGCTGTCTTTGCTCACATCTGGATTTACTCTGCTGGTTCTGCTTATAGGAACAGGTTAGTTGGAGTCTTTCAGAGAACTATTTTATCCTAGTTGTTCTTCCCTTATCATTTTTCTTCTTTCAGGTGTAAACTGTCAAGAACTCACTGCAGCAAAGACTGAAGCGTTCAGTCTGGAAGGCAGCTCTGTTACTCTGTCCTACAGTTACTCCAAGAAAGCAGATGGGAATGATTATTTCTTCTGGTATCGACAATATCCTGGACAACCTCCAGAGTTCCTGATCTCTCACTTAGGAACAGGGGATGAAATCTCTCAGAAGGTTCCTGGTTTTTCCTTCAAAGTGAGTGATGATAAAACCCAGATGGACCTGCTGATCTCCTCTGCTGCAGTGACAGACTCTGCTGTTTACTACTGTGCTGTGCGGCCCACAGTGACAGGAAACACCAGAACTCTGTACAAGAACCTGTGATACTCCACAATATCCACTAGAGGGCCTCACACACTTCATTATACTGACAATTATCTGTCTCCACTTGAGCCTGAGAGCATTTCTAAGAGCAGAAATGATGTCATTGTGAGGATCTAAACTAGAAAGATTGGATCCATGGAGAAACTCATGAAAAATCTTCTCTGGTTGGACTTTAAAGCAGTGGTCCTCAGCCTGAGACATCAGGACATTGTTTCCCCCAAAGTTTAGAGGAAACCCTTTGTCCAACAGGTTTCAATGTAAAGAATGATTTCGTTCAGCAATTTGTTTTGACTCTGACAGCTTTCCATCATTGTAAGTAAGGGGGAATTAACAGTGCCCAGGAAGAACAGGGCTGATTACCATGCAACATGAGCCGTTTACTGTGAACTGCTGTGAAAGTGCTGACTGAGTGAAATCCATCAGTCTCTCTTTATTTAACTGGGGTGAAGTTCGGGTCAAGTTGAATACTTTTTCCCACTAAAAGCTCCAACATCTGCAAAGCTTCCTGCAGATCCTGGACTGAAATTCTGTCCTTCTCAGAGCCTCTGAGTTTGGACAAGTTCTGCTGGGACAATCGGTCCTGCATCGGCTCCCAGGATTTATAGTAGAGAACATTTACAGAGGTTTTTCCTCAAAAATGCCTGAGTACATTTGCAAGCTGTGAAATTATTTAGATTTACCTCATGAATAAATAAATGCCATTAAAAAATAAGCAGATCTGAAAAACTACATTGAGCACCGTGGAATATAAAATTGAGTTGATATCATTAAAATGTGAAGTAGATGCAGCTGAAAATAAGACTATTTATTTAACTAAAACATTTGTTCCATTTAGCTAATTAATGTTTTTTTTTCATAATGTACTTTATAGTGGACTATTAAATATCAGGATAAATTTGTTACATTTTATTATTTCTTTAATCTGTTTTGCCACAGACCATTAAGAATAATTTTCAGTGGAATGGTCTAATGGTCTGTAGGGACGCCGCCATGATTATGGCTGTTTGAATAAATTCTGGTTATAAGTTTACAGACATCACAAGTTCAAAAAACTCATTTCAGGGAGACGCTCATACAATAATTAATTAAATTCAAATCCCAGCAACACAGATTTACTTCCATACTCCAACCTCAGAGTGTCTGTAGGTGAAGTCCTGCTGGTGGAGAGGTGAGCTTGGAAAGGTCCGTAGCAGGAAGTTACCAGTTCAGTTTATTCTATTGCTTCTGTGGTTCTTAAAGG